TATATATATATACACATATAAATGTTATTATATAGATTTCAATGGAAAAATCAATGGAACGTTGGTGGGAAAATTTTTTAATAAATGAAAAAAAAATAAATCTTAAACATATTCAACCAGAAAAATCTATGGAAGATTTAAATCAAGAAGAACAAATGAAAATTCATCAAATGATGTATGATCAAAGACAAAAAGCTATGGGTCTACCAACATCAGAAGAACAAGTTGAAATTTTTTACTTATTTTTTTTTTTTAATTTTAATTTTAATTTTAATTTTCTTATAGAAATATGAAGACATAATGAAACAAGCATGGAATGCTGAAGGATCACCTTTTAAAGGACAACCTTATGATCCATCCATAGTTCAATCGATTAGAAAATCTGAATAATTCAATTTTTGCTTTTTTGTTCTATTCTATTCTATTTTATTTTAGATGGATGAAAAACATAAATCTTTTAGAAAACAAACGACAGGTGTTAAAGCAGAACGACGAAAGAAAAAGAAAAATCAAGAAGAAAATAATCAAATAAATACAACAACAACATCATCATCAACATTAGAAGATGCTAAACGACGAAATCCAAAAGCATTTAGTATACAAAATCCAATTAAAGCTCAACAAGAATTTCGACGGTAATTTATTTAATATTCTTTTCTTTTTTTTTAAATTTATCATCTTATTTAAATAGAACACAAGATATTAAAGAAAAACGTATTCATTTACCAGAAGTTGATCGAACACCACTTGAATTACCACCAGTTATTGTTGCACTTGTTGGTCCAGCAAAAGTTGGAAAAAGTTTATTAATGAAATGTATAATTAAAAATTTTACAAGACAAAAATTAACAGATATTCGTGGACCAGTTACTATTATTTCAGGTTTGTTTATTATATAGTAATGTGAAAATTACTGTTCGATTAAGACAATTTTTTTGAAGATAAATATATATAATATTTTTTTCTCATTAATTTAGGACGAAAACGTCGTATTACATTTATTGAATGTCGTAATGATATTAATTCAATGATTGATGTAGCTAAAATAGCTGATCTAGTAAAGTTTTTTTTATTCGAATAAAAATAAATAATTAATAAATTTAAATTAATTAGGTTTTACTTTTAATTGATGCTAAATTTGGTTTTGAAATGGAAACATTTGAATTTTTAAATATAGCACAAATATATGGTTTACCACGTATTATGGGTGTATTAACACATATGGATTTATATAAAAAAATGAATAAACAATTAAATAAAAGAAAAACTCAATTAAAACATCGATTTTGGACAGAAATTTATCAAGTATAAATTTTAAATGTTTTTTTTTTGCTTCATTTTTTTAAAATGTTTCTAATCGTTTTAGGGTGCAAAATTATTTCTTATGTCTGGTATGAAAAATGGTGAATATATTCAACGTGATGTTCATAATCTTGCAAGATTTATATCAGTTATGAAATTTAAACCATCAACATGGAAAACAACACATCCATTTGTTGTTGCTGATCGGTAAAATATTTTTCGTTTTTTTTGTCAATTTCTTTAATAAAATAGAAATTTTTTTAGTATGGAAGATCTTACTGAACCTGAATTAATTCGAACTAATCCATTATGTAATCGTACTATATGTTTATATGGTTATGTACGTGGATGTCCAATTAAATCTGATACACCTATTCATATACCAGGCAAGTATGTCAAATATTTTTTTTTCTATTGAATTTTAAAATATTTCAATTAATGTTTTAGGTTGTGGAGATTATAAATTAAATAATATATCATCATTACCTGATCCATGTGCATTACCAGCTGATCGATCAACAAAAACAAAACAAGCTCGACGTGTTTTAAATGAAAAAGAAAGACTTTTATATGCACCTTTTTCTGGTGTTGGAGGAATTGTTTATGATAAAGATGCTATTTATATTGAATTAGGTGGTTCACATTCACATCGACCTTCTAATAATAATGAAAAAGTAAATTCTTTTATATAAACAAATGTTTATATGTATATATTGATTTTATTTTTCTTTAGACAAGACCAATTAATGAATATGTAGCTAATATCTTATCAACTAAAAAAACTATTGAAGAAAAAGTAGCATCAAGTCAATTGAAATTATTTTCTGATAGTGAACCAATTATAGCTGAAGATGAGTAAGTATAGATACTTTTAAATTTTAGAATTATTCTATTTTTGATTCGTTGTAGACAAGAGATAAAACGAAGAAAAATGAAATTTGAAACAGAAAATGATGAAAATAACTCTGACGACGAAGAAGATAATGAAGATATAGATGAACAAGAAGAGAACGATGAAGAAGAAGAAGAAGAAGATATCAATGAAGTGAGTATGAAATTGAATAAATCAACACAACTTGTCTATTTTGCTTCTTTTTGTAGGAATCTGAACAAGAAGAGTTTGGTATGTAAGGATTTTACAGTAAAACTTCTCTATAGGAAGGTTATGTATTTTCAAAGAAGTAGACATGTGTCTAAGCATGTGAAGTAAGATAATCAGATAGAGCATCTTATTAGTTTTCTTTTTATGTATTTTATTTTTGAAAATAGAAAAATCAAGATCTTTGATAGAACTTTGTTTCGCCATATTCGAATACAGATAAATATAATTCAAGATCAGAGATGAGAGTGTCTAGATGAGATTATTAAGTAGATGGAAAAAGGTCAAACTGATCAAATCATGATTATTTTGATTGTCGTTAATTAGTACAATCTTTTATTTCAGAGTCAACACTAATCGATTAGACATAATAATCTCTTTCTCTTAATAATGATAGCAAAATGCTTTAATGCGATTCCGTTTCGTCTATTCAACACAAAGGACGTGTTCTTTATCTACCATTTATAATGGAATGGTTTGTGTTATTAGACATATTCGGTTCAAATTAAAGGCCTCACTGCCGAACTATCAAAGTCAACATATGGACTGCTGTAGGCGTACATAGACTGCAAATACTTTAAAATTTGAATATCTCAGTCTGTGCACGTCAACAACAGTTCATATTTTGAATTTGATAGTTTGGCGGCGAGACCTTTAATTTAAACCGAATATGTCTAACCTTATTAATTAACAACACAAACCCTTCCATTGTAAAACGTATCTTTTTTTTTTTGTCATTCTATATAGTGTCCACTATAGAAGATTTTCATTTCAGGAAATTCATGGAAAGAAAATATATCAAAGAAATTTGCAATAAGTTATATTCCTAGTAAAAATATCAATTGGACAAAACTTATTTATGGTGATAATAATAGTATGTTGATCTATTGTAATTTGTTTTTGTATCATTTGAATATATATATTTTTTTTTTTGAGATAAAATAAATGAAAATATATCTTCAAAAGAAATCGATTCAATTAATGAAAATAGAGACGAAGTTGGTGGATTATTTCATGTATCTCGAGAAAAAAAAATTCATCTTAATGATCAAGAAGATTATACATTAATGAATCAAAATGAAAAACATAATTGGAATTTAGATGAAGTAAAAAAAAAAAAATAAAATAATTTACAATATTAAATTAATAAAATTATTTTAGATTTGTAATTTAATTCGTGATTGTTTTGTAACAGGAAAATGGGAAAAAGACAAAGATGCTGCAAATTTACTTGCAGAAGATGATGCTTTTGATGATGATGATAATGATGGTTTGCTGATTATTTTTCTTTTTTTCGTTCTAAAATTGATTAATTTATTTTAGAAGAATTATTTGGTGATTTTGAAGATTTAGAAACAGGTGAAACAAATAAAGAAGAAAATGATCAAATGGATTATGATGGTAACAATTCAATATTTATAAATATAAAAACTATATTTCTAATGAAAATGATTTAGATAATGAAGAAGATGATTCTGAAAAAATAAAACTTGAAAATAAAAAAGCAAAATTAAAATCTATATTTGATGCTGAATATGATCAATCAAAAGATCCTGATTCAGCATATTTAGATGAACTTAAAAAAGAAGTTGAAATACAAACAAAAGTATTATTATAAAAAAATTTTTTTAATTTTTTAAATCAAAATTTTCTTTTATTTTTAGTTAAATCGATCAGAATTTGAAAATATGCCTGATGATATTCGTGTTTTATATGAAGGTTATCGTCCAGGAATGTATGTACGTTGTGAATTAACACAAATTCCATATGAATTTGTTAATAATTTTGATCCACGTTATATAACTATACTTGGTGGAATACCTATAACTGAATCTCATATGGGATATGTTCAAGTACGTTTAAAAAAACATCGATGGCATAAAAAAATTTTAAAAAGCAAAGATCCATTAATTATTTCACTTGGTTGGAGACGTTTTCAAACAATTCCATTTTATTTTATTCAAGATCATAATATGAGACATCGACTTTTAAAATATACACCACAACATATGTATTGTCATGCTATATTTTATGGTTTGAAGAAATTTTTTTTTTAAATTTGAATAAAAAAAATAATATTTTTATTATAGGACCTATAACACCACAAAATACTGGTTTTGTTGCTGTTCAACAAATAGCTGGAAAAGTAAATTGATTCAATAAAATATTATTTTAATTTTTTTTTGTAGACTGATTTTCGAGTAACAGCAACTGGTGTTGTACTTGATTTAGATAAATCAACAAAAATTGTTAAAAAATTAAAATTAATTGGTACACCATTTAAAATATTTAAAAAGACAGCATTTATTAAAGTAATTATTATTATTATTTTTTTTTTTTTGTTTATAAAAAAGTATTAAATTAAAACATTATTTTAGGGTATGTTTAATACATCATTAGAAGTTGCTAAATTTCAAGGTGCATCTATTCGAACTGTAAGTGGTATACGTGGACAAATAAAAAAATTTGTTAAAGAACATCCAGGTGCTTTTCGTGCTACATTTGAAGATAAAATTCTTCTTAGTGGTAAGCAAAAAAATAATTCAATTAAAATTATTTAAGAGTATTTTTTTGTAGATATTATTTTTCTTCGAGCATGGTTTCCATTACAAGTACCAAAATTTTATACACCTGTTACTAATTTATTAATGCCAATTGAACAAAAGGATCAATGGCAAGGACTTCGGTATGGTTGTGCTTTTTTTTTTTGCTGCAGTATTGTTATTAGATAAGTGTAGATAGCCTTCGGGTTCTAATTTTGAATCTAAGCATATAAATATATGGATACTGACTTCACAAGATGAATCATCAAAAAGAAATACAAAGATATCCAAAATTTTATTAATATATTCCATATTGTAGAACTTTTTTTTTTAGAAATTTTTCTATGATAATATGTTAAGGTCAAAATAATGAATAAACATCATATTACTCTGCAACTTCCGAGTAATTGAATGTTTTCTGAAGTATTTTGATCTTAGCATCGTCATTTGTAAATATGAATAGAAATGTTTTAATGAAATATTCAGCAGTAAAAGCTCTACAATATGGGGAATGTTTTCTAAAGATGGAGTGTTTTCGTCTAAATTATAGATTCATACAAATGATGATTTGCATCTATCGTAAGGATTACTGATTGGTCTCATATGAAATTTTCTACTTTATAAAAGATTTTTTTGAAATAATAAAAATCTCAATGTTCATAAAAGTAATGAAACTTGATTGTTATTTGAGAAACAACCACAGTTTCGTTTATTCCTATCTTAAGCAAACCATCGAAAAGAAGGGAAATTTAAATCCGAGGTTTTTTTTTACAACTTTCACCACTCTAATTACCTTGTGAATGTTTAAGGTCATTCAGTGCGTGTTTTGTAGCAATCGAGGGTAATAAGTAACAGAAAAACACTCTGAACGTTATTAACAACAAGATTTCGACGTTTGTAGAACATTCTAAAGTTTTACAAATTATTAGAATACATTTTTCAATGTTCAATCTAACACCCACACCCTATTATAGATATAATGAATGTTTACAACAAGTCTATTTACTAATTAAACCAATAATATGAGAACAGAGTAGAAAATTATGAAAGTAGAAAAAGAAAATAAAGAACGAGTGAGTAGTAACAAGGACAAATAAAGAAAAGAGCACAAGTAAAAAAAAAACAAATAATTTCTGATCGAAATAGAGAAATAAAAGATACAGATCATATTCCCTTGACGATCGAGATAATCATTTAAAAACAACTATCATCTATTAGAGATTGTTTTTATTTTGTATATATTTTATAAATATAATAAAACAATTAATTTAGAACTGTTGGTCAACTTAAACGTGATATGAATATTCGTAATGAACCAAATATTGATTCATTATATAAACCAATTGAAAGAAAAGAACGTATATTTCGTCCATTACAAATACCAACACAACTTCAACATGATTTACCATTTCATCTTAAACGAAAAACATCAGAATCTACAACAATAAAAGATCCTATAGAAGAAAAACAACGAGTTGCTGTTATTTTAGAACCACAAGAAAAAAAAGTAAAAAAGTATTTATTTCAAAGATAATAAAAAATATAATTTATATTTTCTAAGATGGCTGATATAATGAAAATGTTTACAACAGTATATAAAGATCGATTAAAAACAAAACAAAGAACTCAAACAAATCGTAATAATCAATATCAAAAACAACAAAAAATTCAAGAATTAAAACGTTTACAAAAACATAAACAATTAAAAAAACTTGTTTATAAAAAACTTGGTCAAATTGAATCAAGAAAAACAAAGACAAATTCTCGTCATGGAAAACAAACAAATAATGATAGTATTGATGAATAGATGTTTTTTGTTTTTTAATAAAAATCAACCATTGTTATCTCTTTATTTAAAAGAGAATTAAACATTATGTTCTGTTTTTTGTTTTTATGTATTTTGTAGATGACTGCTATACTTCATCAACCTAATCTTACTGAAGGTCTTACTTTACTCGGATGGAGATTAAAACGTGATGCTGAAATTCGAGGTTTGAAAATTATTTAAATATAAAAAAAAATAATAATAATAAATAATTTTTGTTTTTCTATTATTAAGAACGTAAAGATGAATCAAATTTTGAATGTGAAGTTGAACCAACATCAACATCATATGCTGCATTTGAATATATGTCAACAACAGACGATGGTTATGATCCATATGCTGGTCTTAATATTGATCTTTGTCTTGAAGTTGATGCTATTGATTTAAATAATACAAATCAACAAATAAATGATGATTATGATCCTTATGAAGTATTTATGAGAATGAATACACGTCGAACGGTAACTGGACGTGAACGTGCTCCACTTGCATTATTACCATCACATACAACAACGACTTCTCCTCTAGTCAATAATTATCGTCATTATAATTTTGCTGATGATGATACACCTGTTAAATATCCATTAGCTATTGGACATATTGATCGACGTTTAAAACAACAAAATGTAAAAAAACGTTTTCTATTGAAATTCATTTATTTTATTATTAATTTAATTTTTATTTAGATTCGTGGTGGTTATACACCTCGTACATCATTTGATGATGAACGTCGATCACGTGGTGGAATATCAAATCGACCGATA